CACACACACACACACACACACACACGTCAGCAGAGATATCTGACCCTTACACACACCTACATATTGAGTGTGTCCATACGCAGTCACAGCGGTTGTTGGTAAAAGCAATGAGCGCATCAGGCAGCTACATTTTAACACGTTTTCAGAGAACCTAAAGTACATTTTGGCTAAGCTACCTGCCAGAATTCAGCACAGCACCAAAAACCATGGAAGGAGAAAAAAATAACCAGCAAATAAAACCGCTGTTACTACCACAAGCTGCTGAGTGCCGGCCTGCAGTGCCACCTGCTGGCGGGAGGGGTGTTTGCACTTGGCTTGAAGAAGGTGAATCCAAGGACACTGCGTCTCTGACACACCTAGGAAGCCACCAACTACAGGCAGCCATTCTCCCTCTTTGTATTCTGCTCTTTGTGTCTCGGCGTTGAACTACAATATCTGAAAATAAGCATTCAGGGCCTCGCATGTCCCATCCAAAGCAATATCCAATGGGGATGGCAAAATATGTTTTCAACTTTCATGCCCTCTCCAACGCCCTAGTCGCTATACTGCCAGGCATGCTGGGTTGAGAAGGATTCTGAATCTGGGCTTAGCAGAGAAGAGCATCATGATGGAACAGCGACCAAAAACATGGCTTCCACACTGTCATTCTTGCCATGGATCCTGAAACCTACATCTGCATGTTTCTCCTGCAACACAATTCCATGATGAGGGTATGAGTGTTTCTTGCCCACACCTCACAGCACAGGGACACTGCCATTCCAAATATCACTGGAGTTTCTCTCTCGCTTGATCAGTAACTCCTGAGCCAGCTAAAGCCCTCACTGGGACGGTCCTTGGGAAGAGCGTGCTCTTGCTTCCACGGAGAGCATGGGATGACCTGTTAGATCTGAGCACTGAGTCAACATGGGGCACTTCCCTTTGCTGAGAATTCATATTGAACTCAGGCTCAGCCATCTTCAGGCACTGATCATTCCCAAGGAGCCCCATGAGGACAATAACTAGTCAAGAACAACAAAACTACCCTGAGCAGATGCTGGACAGCCAGCTGGACTTAGCCCTAGACAGGGGCACTGCTCCTGCCCCTCACCCATCAGCTTGGGAGGGCACACTCCACTCAAATCTGCGCCTCAACCACATTTTGAATTACAAAGGGTGCTGGGTCACTTGAAAATCGTCAAAACTTGAAATCCTGACGTCTCAGGTGACAAGGGTCTGCATCGAGGTACTTAGCCAGTACCCATGAGACTCCACAGCCCCAACAATGCCCACCGGTGGGCGCGGACCCCCGATGCTTTCCCCTCGGCAGCAGAGCCAGCCTCTGCCCCCGAGTGCTTAGGGGTATGAGAGCAGGTCCTTCCCTCCAGAGAGCAGGCTGGGCATGTTTGCCTTAGCCCAGGGATCTGCAAACTTTTTGAGTAAAAGGCCAGAAAAATATTTTCAGGGCCTCGCTCTCTGTTGAAGTAACTCAGATCTGCTGCTGCAGTGTGAAAGCAGCCGCACATACACATAAGCAAATAGAAATGGCCGTGCTCCAGGAAAAGGTTTAAAAAAACAAACAGGTAGTGGGCCCGAGGAGCCATGGTTTCCCAAACCCGCATTAGCCCAGTTCAGGGGTCTTCAAACTGGGTTCCTCAGAGCCTGGAGATTATCCGAGGGCTCTGCAAATGGTTGGCCTTCATATAAATTCTCCTTAGCTATTTAGGAAGCTATAGCCAAAATGTGCCCACACAAGTGTATTGAGCATTTTAACATGATCAATATGTTAAAGGACTGTCGGGGGAATGAAGCTTCTATTGCCTTCTCTGGGCACATGTCTGGGTCTTACGGCAAAATGGCTAAGAGCCTGAGCTCCCAGGTCAGCCCGAGTCCCCGTGCTGCCACTTACTAGCTATGGGACCGGGCAAGTGGCTTTCCTTCCCTAAACCAGCACGGCCACCCCAAAGGGCGCCCACCGGTGGAGCCGCCGCCAGGAGCCTGCTAAGAAGCCCCTTTTGCTGGATCGTGGGAACAGGGAGCGGTCACAGCGCAGGGGCGCTCAGGGACCCAGGCCAGAGCTGTGTACCAACGGACATTTCTGTATTTTAAGCACCAGTCCGTCTGAACTGGCGCATCCCAGCTGAATGTCATCGCAGTGCCAGGTCCATCTTGGATTTGAACTCCTCACTGGTTCTGGTGTCTTCTGGCACTTTCGGCTGTGCTCACAACCTTCTGATTGGGCTCTCGGGGAAGGGGAGGGGGCTGTCTGCCAATGATCTTAGCAGTCTCAGTGCTTAGTGACGGCTTCTGTTTTTCTACTACGTGGCCTTCCCGCCGGGCCTGGGGCTTTGTTGGCCAGCGTTTCCCGGGGCGAGTTCTGCAGGACTTGCTGGGCCCCGGGTGCTTTCGGCTCCAGGGGTCCAGCCTGCGGGAGCTGCGCCCCTGAGCCCCTGCTGCAGAACAAGGTTGGGCCTGAGGCTTTGGTGCTCACCTGGCTTTTTAGTTCCTCTGCTGAATGCTCCTCCTCCCGCCCTTAAACAATCTGGGGTGTCTAGCCGCTGCCCCAGCCTGCCCTCAGGACGTCTGGCCTTTTATTCCAGCCTCGGGAAGCGCTCTCTCTGGCCCGAGACACTCATGTCTGGTTGCACTAATAGAATTTGGACCCCACTGTCTCTCTCTGCCCAGGGCTTGTCTATGTCTATTAATGGTGGCTCCAGTGAAACGCAGGCTTTGATTGCACCTTATCTCTCTGCTTCCTGACAGGCCCAGAAGAATCACTGGTGTTTATGGTTAGGTCCTGGGGGCAGGACTTCTTGGCTCCCAGGATGCCTGGGGTTTATCTTAATTAGGTGACATCTGGTGCTGTCTTCACTGTGCACATGTCCACCCTGCTCACGGCAGCCTAGTGCCTGCAGGGGCCCTGGAGGCTCAAACAAGGGGGAGATTCCGACCCGGGAGGGGGGGGTGTGGGGAGCAGATGTTTCTGTGGTTCAGCCAAGATCAAAGGTGACTTGGGTTGAGCTCTCCGACCTCCTCCTTCCCTCTTAGATCTCCCGGTATCTCTGGCTGGGCTTGGGGTCTGGGTAGAGGAAGAAGCTCAAAACCAAACGCTCTGCCCTGAGGCCTCCTCTGTTGCCCAAAAGATCCCGACTGGATGGGAACGGACTCGTGCAAAGACATTGTCATCCCCGCCCTTCCCCTGATAAGGCGGTCAGTGCGGGGCCTCTGCCCTGGCACTCGGCACAGCCTGGCCCTTCCCCCACTGGACCAGCCTCTAGGAGCTCAGAGCAAAGGCTCAGCCGAGCCCCTCAATTCTGGCCCAAACTGTTGCTCCAAAGCAGAACCCCGTGTGTGCTCACTCGTTCCTCCTTCCTGGCGACCCTTCTGCAGCGACTGCCCTGCCCCGCATTGCCCAGAACCTGTGCCCGTTCAGACGGCGAGCTGGGCCCTCAAAAGTACAAAGGCCAGGCCCCCGATGGCTCTCCACTCCTCCCTCCTGCCCCCACGAGTGCTCCAGCTCTCTCACACACACACACCTCCAGGCTCCTGCCCGCGCTGCTGCTACCTTTGGCTTTCTCCACAAAGTGCTGCTCACTCCGAGGATTGCCTCCCAGGAGCCAGGCAACCAACACCCCCACCCCGATGTCTGCTCACACCTCTGGGCCTTCCTGAGGGACCAGCCATTGGTGCCACCACCCGTGCAGAGCGCATGGCTGGCCACAAAGGAGGGGCTGTCAGTCGGCAGTGAGGATTCTACCCCGAAAGTGGTGGCGGGAGGGGCTGGCTGCAGGGGCTCGCGCAAGGCTGGAGGGTTCAAGGGGCACCCTCCCACAGCATCCCAGGGCCGGGAGCGCACCCCCTCCACGCCATTCCCGCAGCTGGGAATCTTCCTCTCTCACTGGTGCTGCTGCAGACCAGGCCACCCGCCCAGCCCTCACCACCTCCGCCTGGACAGCCTCCCCCTTCCGCCTGAGCTCTCTTCCCCTCGGCCCACTGCAGTCAACCCTAGTGCTCCGCTGTTTTCCCTACTGGCAGGGCTGCTTGGCGACACAGCAGGATACAATAAACGAGGGAGAGAGGGTTGAAGTGAAGGGGTTGGCAGGCGGGAACAACTGAGCTTTGGCTAAGAGCAAAAGCGAAGGAAGCAGTGGGCAGGCTGCTCCCAAAGTGGCTCCCCAGGAAGTGCCCGCAGTGCCCTCCGGTGGCTACGCTAGAGTTTGCATGCAGGTTTAATTCACTCCCTCATTGCTTTCCCAGACGGGGCAGGCCTGGCAGCGGACCCCGGAGACTCAGATGAGAGGTTTCCAAATGAGTAAAAGTAGAGGTGGGGTTGCTGCATTTTGCCCGGTTGACAAAGGCCTCCGGGCTGAGGAGCCAATGGGGCTGACCTCCCACTTACATCCTGCTAACCTGACTGGGTCCCCGCGTGGTGTGGCCGGCCCAGAGGAAGGGCCTTCTTCCCATAAATCATTCCGTAACCTGCGCAGAGGGGCCGGGCAGACCAGTGGCAGCCCTGGCACAGAATGCTTCCTTTAAACCTTACAACGCCAAGCTCTATAGCTAAAGGCGGGTGTGAAAACCGCCTCAAAGACGGGGACACGGAGCCCCAGGAAAGGGAGGGACTCGCTCTAAGTTAATGCGGGGATCGCGCTGAGAGGCCAGATCTCTTCGCCCTCAGAGCAGTGCTCTTGGCACCACACCCACCTGGTGTTCACCCCGAAGCCCTTGGGAGGCATCCTGGCTCCTCGGACCCTCTACCCGCAGCCCCACCAACTCCCCCTGACGCCCAGCCACGGCCTGCCTTTCCTCGCCGGCATCATGGCACAGTGTTGGCCCCAAATGGAGGCTGGTGAGATGCCGGCCCAACCTGCATGGTTGCGTACCAGCGCCTCACTCCCAGGGGTGAGGGCAGACATGCAGCAAGGCAGTGCGGTCGGGCGAGAAGGGCCCAGGGGAGAGTGGCAGGGCGGGCGCTGCGCCTGGAGCACTGGGGGGGAGGAGGTGTCGGTGAGGCTGGGGCGCAGCTACTGTGCAGCTGGGGCCTGCTTGGCAGGCGCAGTCCGCCGGGGAGCCTGTGCCACACCGTAAGGCACGTGGGCGGCCACGGTGCCCATCTCCTGAGCCCCGGCCACGTGGAACATCTGGTCGTCGAAGTAGATGTGCGGGCGGATCTTCTCCAGGAGGGGGCCCTTGGGCGCGCCCGCGAGGAACAGGGCTTCGTCCGTCTCCAGGCCCCAGCTGCGCAGGGTCTTGAGGGCCCGGGCCCCGGAGCTGGCTGCGCTGCGGGCCGTCACCAGGTAGGTGCGGATCGGGCACTCCAGCCGCAGGCCCTTGGAGTAGAACTTCTTCTGCAGCCTCCCCAGGGCCTCCAGAAAGCCCTTGAGGGGTCCCTATGGGAAGAAGGCAGGGGGGAGACTGTGAGCTCACCCCTCTCCCAGACAGGCGCCCCCTCTCCCGCTGGGGTGAAACAGCTTCTCAAGGTCCCCACAGCTCTCCGTCCTGCCTGCTACGCCTGCTCAGGTCACTCACTGCGCACCGATGGGGCTGCAGGTACCCATGGCAGTGTGGGTTCCTGTACCGCTGTGATGGGGGGTGCCTGTGTCGGAAGAGTGTGCGGGGAGACCCGTTCCTGTGTCTGTCCTTCTCTGTGCCCCTCGGGTGCATGGGCGTCTGGCCTACAGCTTCGTAGTATGACCTTCTGTGCTCACCAGCAGGGAGGATATTAAAAATATGTAGCCGCCACAGCCAGGGCAGCCTCCAGGGAGAAGGGAGCCCGGCTGCAAACAACGCGGACAGACAGACCGATGTGCAGCTGGCTCAGGGCGCCCCGCTCTGTGTCTCCAGGGTCAGGGAGAGGATGTGCCCTCTGCACTGCCGGGAACGGTGATGAGGACGGCGACTGAAGAGCCAGAGGGTGGTAAAGAAGAAAAGCACAACAGCAGCTGGAAGTGAGGAGAGGGGGCTGCCAGTCTTGGGGACCCCTCGCCTCCCGGGAGGCTGGAGCGAGCAGCGGTCTGTCGGCTCTGCCTGCCACTCGGCGGGAAGACTGTCCTGCCCTGACCCCCAAGGGTTCCTGGGAGAACTCGTGAGAACGGAAGGGTGTGAATGTCCAGGGACCCGGGCGGAAGCCTGCGGAGCGGCTGGAGGGAGGGGCTCTGGGATGATGTGGGTTTTTGTTAAAAGTACAAACAGGAGCTCCCAGGACGACAGGAGAATGAATCCCCACAGCTCCGGCCCCAAGGAATCCAACCAGGCTCCAGGGCCCCCTCTGCTCTCGGGGAGACACCTGAGCAGTCAGACAGCGGGTGAGGGTCCCTGAGCCCCTTGCCAAGGGATGGAGGGCAGGAGGTGGTTAGGGCTGGGGTGGCCCAACGCAGAGGAGCTGCAGTAGACGCCACACCCAGGGGATCTCCCTGGCCCAGTCCAGCTGTTCCTTTCCTCCAGTGAGGGGCGCAGGGGAGCCTGCTCAGAGGGGAGGGGGGACCTCAGAGAGGGAGTGAGGGCTCCAGAGGGAGGACAGCGGAGTCAGAGGGAGAGGTGGGGCTTTCCGGGTGTGATGGGGACTTTGGAGGGGGATGGAGACCTCAGAAAGGGGATGGGGACTTCCAGAAGGGGCTGAAAACCTCAGCTACGAGCAGCTAAGGAGAGGTAGGGGTTTCGAGAGGGGTCGGAGAGAGGGTGGGGGCTTCAGAGGGAGGATGGGACTGCAGTGAGGGGGGACAGGGGTTCAGTGAAGGGGCGCCAGGGCTCAGGGGAGAGGGATGAAGGCTGGAGGCTGGGTGAGGGGACCTGGCTGGATTCTGGGCCAAGCTCAGCGTTTGGTTCCAGCCAAGGGCTGGTTCTGAGGAGCCCCTGAGGGGCTCTGGGGAGTGTGTGGAGCACCTGGGCCAGGGGTTTGTTCTCATGGGCCTTCTCGTGCTCGAAGAACCTGTCCAGCCCATGGGCCTTGACAATGCGCTCCGACTCGTCCGAGAAGAGCACAGCGTCCCCGTCGAAGGCCACGCGCAGCTGACTCTGGGACACAGCCACGTCCCTGCTGGGGCTGAAGATGGTGGCAGCTGCGATCCCTGGGCAGAGAGAGGCAAAGGTTGTCTACCTTTACCCTGGCAAGAGGGGCCCCCTGACGCCTGCCTCAGCTGCCTGGGGCCAGGGGAGGGCCAGCTCAGGCTATTCTTTAAAATAGATAGATAGAATAGATAGATAGATTTCAGAGAGGAAGGGAGAGGGACAGAGATAGAAACATCAATGATGAGAGGGAGTCACCAATCAGCTGCCTCCTGCACGCCCCCTACTGGGGATGGAGCCTGTAACCCAGGCATGTGCCCCTGACCAGAATCGAACCTGGGACCCTTCAGTCTGCAGGTGGATGCTTTATCCACGGAGCCTAACCAGCTAGGGCAGCTCGGCCTATTCTTGCCCCACTTGCCTCTCCCAGGACTCGGAGCAAAGCTAATGCACATTCAGAACATTTAACACCTGGCCAATGAGAATGGATGGTGGCCTTTGCTCTGAGGGCCCTGGCCCGAGGTTCCCTTTAGTTGCTGCTTTATGGGAAGGTCTGGGGGAGTCCCAGGAAGCAGGGTGGGGCACGAGAGGACTCAGGACAAGAGCCTTTTATCAATCAGTGTGGAGGGATGGCAATGCTTTATTACCTAATAAGGCCATGCTGGTATAGACCATCGGAATGTCCTGGCTGGAAGGGAGGGTCCCCCAGGATTGATATCCTTCCCGGAGTTATTCCCAGCCCCTAATATAGACCTACAGGGGGGCGGGGAAAGGGCCCTGCCCCTGGCTTGGCCTCGCTCTCTTGCTGTTGATTCCGGCAAAGCCTCTCACCTGCTCTGAGCCAAGGTAAAATGGAGGACGTTTCAGCTCTGCCTGGGGCTGAGATCCCAGGCTGCCTCTGGGGTGGAGTCGGGGTGGGCACCCCCTCAGTCTTCTGCCACAAGAACACCCAGGTGTGCCACTTCTTGAGGCAGCCTGGTCAATCGGGGTCCCTTGAAGCAACGTGGGTGGCCACTAGAGGCAGCAATAATCCCAGTGACTGTGGCACAGACTCTCTGCAACCCCGGGCCTCTCCAGAGGTCCAGGGTGCCTGTGGGAAACCCAGGCCAGAGCTACACTGGGCAAGAGAGCCAGTGCTGGAGGCTGGAGACCTGGTCAGCAGCTCAGCCCATCCCTTCTTCTTCATCTCTCCCAAGGCCACTCGGCCCTGCTCTTCAGGAGTCTGGGATCACAGGGTGGGGCTCAGGCAGAGATCTGGGAGAGGTGAGCAGTGTCAACTTTGCTGGCCTGAGGACGTTATTTGTAGGACCAGGCCCCGGGCATCAGGCCAGGCACCTTCTCAGCTCTGCCAACGATGGAGCCAAGATGAACCCGAACCACCTGGCCCTGGGCAGAGCCTGCCCCTGCCTCCCCTTGCTCTCCAGCCTGAGCTCAAATTGCAGACATATAGAGGCACACATGCAGGCCAGTGCCAAGGCCGCGAGCAGAGGGGTGGCATCGTGTAGGGAAATAGCTTCTGGCTCGTGGTTAAAGATAGCCTGCCAGAGGCCCAAGCAGCTCAGAGAGGAGGCATCGGGGAGAGAGGCCAAGCTTCTAGGCAGGAGACAGCATGCCGGAGAAGAGCGAACACACCGCTGGCTGATAAACCTTCCAGTAGTGCTGAGCCTGAGGAGCCCTCTCAGGAAAGGGGGCCTGTCTGCCTGTTTTCTTCTGTGTGCAATAGGAATGCACACCCTGTTGGAGGACCACGGCTAGGTCTACCACCCTCAACTGACCCCTGAGAGAGACAAGGGCAATTTTCTGTGTCCGTACTTGTGGCCAGGCCTCCTAACCTCACTTCCGCTGCTGGAATGCTGGCCACTTCCCAGACCCCACTCATTGCCCACGCTGGACTGGATACTTATCTTTCTCCCCATTGGCCCAGACAGGGACAGCAGCTGCCCATGGTCACACCAGAATCAGAACTCCTACTGACCTGGAGGATGCCTAGAAGGGAGTAGCTTTCTGGGCTGGAAGGAGGGTTTCCATGGAAACAGAAGCCTGGGTGATGGTGATGAGTAAAAGCATCCTTAAGATGGCAGGGCAGGGGGTGGGAGAGTGGATTAGATGGGCAGTAATGAATAGGGGGGGGGCTTGTTCTCAGATTTATTGGACAGGTCATAGGAATTAGGAAAGGCACCCCTCTTCCAGTTACCATGGCAACCACTAGCACCTGCTCAGAGCTTTGGGACCAGGCCTCTCCTTCTGGGACCCCTTTGCCAGACTCCCCATATTCTCCCTCCCTAGTTTGACTTACCTTGATCAATGGCTTCTCGAACTTTTTCTGCATCAGCTGACAAGTAGAGGTTGGTGTGATAGGCCTTGAGGTAGCAAATGGGGCTGTTCCCTCCTGTCATGCAGAACCTCTCGATGAACAGGTCTGGGGAGGAGGCAGAGAATACTCCGGTGATGCCTGGGTCAGCCCTTAGGGCCTCAGAGTGGTCCTTCCATCTCCAATAGTCACCATCTTGGTTCTGAGTGACGGTGGGACAGTGGGGTGATCCTCTGAGTGATTTTGGGCCAGCAGCCCCCCTCTCTAAACCCCTCCCTCCTTCATCATGAAATGAGGATGATCACCTCTGGAGTAATTGCCTGGCTCACAGTAACATCCTCTTGTCCGGAGTCACAGTACTACACAAGGTGGATCCCTAGCCAGGAAGGGCTCTCTTGGCCATAGCTGATTGGATAGAAACAGACACATGATCCAAGCTGAGCCAATCAGATTCTCTCACAGCCTGGGCTGATAGTCACCTAGTATCCATGCCTGCACAGGTTGTAAAATATTTGCTGGTTGGTCAATGGCCGTTGCTCTGAGCCCATTGAGTTAGCACAACACTACCCCACCCCTCGTGCAGAACAATCACAGTGAAGGGGAAATGTCGGGCACAGCAGGGATTCTTCCGGAAGGGCTCTGGCACTGTAGGTGCTGTCTATACTCCGTGAATACATCACAGGTGGTTAACTTTTGTTGTTGTTGTGAACCCTTGCCCAAGGATATTTTCCCACTGATTTTTTGGAGAGTGGAAGAGAGAGGGAAAGGCAAAGAAACATCCATGGTAACACATCAGTTGGTTGCCTCCTGCACAGGATCAGGGCCTGGGCCGGGGAGGAACCTGCAACCAAGGTACATACCCTTGACCGAAATCGACCTGGGACCCTTTGGTCCGCAGGCCAACACTCTATCCGCCGAGCAAAACCGGCTAGGGCTATGGTGGTTAAATATTTTGAAGATCATTCCTGCTCCCAGAAATTTGAAATTAGGATTTAAAAATGACAAGTGGGCCGGGACCGGTTTGGCTCAACGGATAGAGCGTCGGCTTGGGGACTGAAGGACCTGGGGGTTCGATTCTGGTCAAGGGCATGTACCTTGGTTGCGGGCATATCCCCAGTAGGGGGTGTGCAAGAGGCAGCTGATCAATGACTCTCTCTCATTGATGTTTCTGACTCTGTCTCTCTCCCTTCCTCTCTGTACAAAATCAATAAAATATATATGTTTTTAAAAAATGACAAGTGGTCTGGCTAGTGTGGCTCAGTTGGTTGGGTATCATCCCATGCCCTGAAAGGTTGCCAGTTTGATTCCCGGTTGGGCACATGCCTTGTTGCAGGCTCGATCCCTGGTGGGAGTGTGTAGGAGGCAATTGATTGATATTACAATCTCACATTGATGTTTCTCTTTCTCTCTCTCTTAAAAAAAAAAAAAAAATTCAATAAAAATAATCTTTTTAAAAATGCCAACTGGACTCTCTTGGTTTCCTAAAACAAGGACTTGTAAACTTATAAATTTTGGCCATGTTCAGGAAAAGCAAAGAAGCCTCGTTTGGGGAGAAAAAGAGATAGGAGAGAGGGAAAAAAGAAGAAGAACCAAGTAAAGAAGCAGACTTGCTGAGAGAAGCTGATAAGGGCTCATGTGGCCCAGAGAGCGAGGGAGCCCAAGAGAGATTTCCAGTTCTTGGATGCAGGCCTTTCTGGTCCAATTTACTTCTTGTCCCGTGGTTCTAAGAGACACTCCTTTAACCCAATAAACATTCTTTTCGACTTAAACAATCTTAGGAGGGTCAATTGCTTTCCATTAAGAATTAGAGGGGGGTGGGTGTGGGCTGGAAGGGGTCCATGGGGGGAGAAGGGGACATCTGTAATACTTTCAACAATGAAGACTGTTTAAGAAGAATTTTAATTAAGTCCCATTCTCTCTGAGGACTGCATGTTTCTCCCAGCAGCCTTGTGAGGCCTGTTAGCCCCACTGCCGAGAGAGAAACTGAGGCTTGGGGGCAGCAAGTGCCCTGCCGGATCACATGGGGAGTGGGGCCCGGGCGGTGGTATGCTGGAGCTTCTATTGGCTTGCAAGAACTGGATGTGAAACATCCTGGGATTTTTTTTTTAGCCAGTTAGATTGTTCAACTGCTGGTAGCTGGAAATAAGTCATAGTAAGTGGGAATGTTTATATCCTGAAAATGGCAAAACTACATTTCTTTTTAAAGAGCCAATTTACCAGTACACCACTGGGTCTGGGGTCCTAGTTGGTATACCCTTACCCTGCAGAGGTGTGCCCCATCCCCAGGTGTCTGGCAGGGGTGTCCCATGCCAGACCCCTCAAGCTTACCATAGTGGTTGATGCTATTGATGAGACGGACACCCACTTGAGCGTGGTTGTTGGTTACAAGGACTATGTCAAAGATGTCCTCACTGTCGGGGTACAGGTCCCGAAGCTGCCTGTTCACTGCCTCCAGAGCCTGGATGGGAGAGGGGGGTCCTCCAGCTTAGACCCCCAGGAATTAGCTGGAATTGGTAGCCAGGGTTGGGAAGGACGAAGGGAGAGGAGAGGGGAGGTCAGGGGCCAGAGTTTGTGTGAGATCAGTGGACACGGACTCTCTCCGCCTAGTCCCTGCCATTGTGATTATTGCTCAGGGCTGCCTCACTGGAGGCGCGAGTGGAGGCTGAAACCCAGCCCGTGCTCCGCTCACCAAGATGGTTCACTCCCTGGCGTGGGGCTGCATGAGCCCAGAGTACGGGGTGGTCTCTTCCCACAATGGCTTTGTCCCTAGCCAAGCCGTGCTCCTGTGGGGTAGCATCATCCTCCCAGAGGGTCCTTTCTCTTTGCTCAAACACCCATGCAAGTGCTTTTTTCTAACACCCGCCTCCAGAAAGCGCACTGCCGCTCACCTTCACGAAGGGGAAGGCCGGCCCGGGGCTGAACGGCTCATTCTCGTGTTGCAGCTGGTAGCGCACGTACTCCTCCACGCCCTGCTCCATGTAGATCCGCTGCTCCTCGTCCATGCGGAACAGGGCGCGGGAGGACACGGCGATGGTGACTGCGTTCTGAGGCTTGGGCTGCAGAGGAGCAGGAGAAGGGCCATCACTCCCACTTCCCTGAGGTGGGTCTCCTGGGCCAGCCCCTCTGAGTTCTGGGGCAGGGAGGAGAAGGCCAGGCCCAGCCTCTGCTAGGAGGCTTGGTGTTGGGCAGGGGCAGGGGCAGACCTAGGAGAGGACTCCTCTGTGAAGGACCCAGCGGGGGACTGAGCGAGGTGAAGGCGCCCCACCAAGAAGCAGGGACATGCCCTTGGGGAGTCTGCAATCTAGCCAGCCACCTGGACATCACAGATGAATGAATACAGTGTATGGCCAACATGGTCTTCAGATATTTTCTATTATGAAATGAGAGCTACATGCCCTCAGGAGAAAATGGTACTTAGAAACATGACGACCACAGAAGAACATTTATCTCCAGCCCAGATCTTCCTCCAGCTCCAGACTCATGTATCTAACTGTCCAGGTTGACTAACCAGACACTCAGACTCAACATGCCCAAAGCTGAATTCCCACGACGGTCTCCACCCCTACACCTGGACTCGTCCCTTCTTCCTCATCTCACTGCTGAGCACCACCATGCACTCATCACCTCAACCAGAAGCCCACAATTCAATGCCAGTCTTCCCTCTTCCTCAACTCCCTTTCCCCGCCAACAGCCCCCACTAGAATCCATCCACCTTTGTCTTCCCCACCATAGTCCAGTCCATCAATATCTCTCATCTCCTCCAATCTGTCATCCATTCTGTCATCCATATTGTCGTCATGAGATTTTTCTCAAGTTCAGATCTGATCAAGTCCCCCTCCCCTTCAGCGGTGCCCACTTTTCTCAGACTCCAGTTGTTAGCTTTTGGTATGGAGTAGGAAGCTCTTCATGACAGACCCCTACCTCGCTCTCTGCGCTCACCTTCCCATGGCCCCACTTGGCTCAGGCTGAACTTCCTCGTGTGTGAGCACACCTTCCATGCTTTCTCTGACCCTCTGCACAAGCTGTTTCCCTTCCTCATCTATTCTTTTTTTAAATTTTATTTTATTGATTTTGTACAGAGAAGAAGGGAGAGAGATAGAGAGCTAGAAACATCGATGAGAGAGAGTCATCGATCAGCTGCCTCTTGCACACCCCCTACTGGGGATATGCCTGCAACCAAGGTACATGCCCTTGACCGGAATCGAACCCGGGACCAAGCCGACGCTCTATCCATTGAGCCAAACCAGTCTCAGCCTCATCTACTCTTTCCCTGACTCTCCACCCAGCTAACTTCTACCCAACCTTTGGGTCTCAAACGATGTGTCACCTCTAGGAAGCCTTCCTTCACCCTTAGTCATGGGTTTGCCACCTCTTCTATTTCCTTTTTCTTCCCTTTTTTTTTTTTTTTTTCTACTTCCTTTTAGTAACATTTAACAATAAATTGTAATTGCTTATTTCTACTTCTAGACAAAGTTCTAGAGAGGAAGTAGGAACAATGCCTAAGTTCTGAAGGAAGAGGAACTATGTGACTATCTTGTTCATTTATTGTATTTCTAGTGCTTGGAACTGTACCTAGCACATAGTAGGTGCCCAGTAAATGTTTAATGCTTCCAAACTTTTAAATAATAATATAGTTTGTTGGGAAACATTATTTGCCATGACAAAATTTAACATGAACCAGAAACTTCAGTTCTGTGCCCTAATCAGTTCAGCTTGCTCGATATAGTAGGCACTCAGAGAATATTTTTTTGATTGATGCCTATTTGGTGAAGATTTTGCTGGTTCTTTGTGCCAGGCACCTGGGCTCTGCCTGGGGGTGGTCCTGGTACAGACTTGGCTGCTGTCCTCAGAGCTCACGGGCTGGTAGGAGAGGAAGTCAGGTAAACAGAGATGCAAAAGGGATCGAAATGAGTGACAGAATACAGGTGAAAAGCAAAGCAGAGATGACAAGTTCACAGGAAGTTGTCATGGGAGAGGAGGAGGAGGAGTGTGAAGTAAGAAGAGGTGAGCACACACATGGTGGTGCATCCACAAAGGTGAGCAGAGCCCAGGACATGGGGGTCTGAGTACAGGTGAGCCCAAAGAGTAGGAAGGTGCTAGACTAAAGGGCCTCCTCTCAGAGCCGCAGGAGGATCTCAGAACTCCTTCACCGTCTCCAGTAGAGTGGAGCCAGGGGCCTGCCATCAGCAGCAGCTGGGCCCTTTATAATCCCTGGGGATCAGGATGTGGGTTCCCAAGGGGCTCACAGACACCAGGAGTCCCACTACATCTCTGTGACCCGAGCATGATTCCACTTTACACCTGAGGGGCTCAAGTTGGGGGCAAGATTCATAAAGGGACCTGGTGCCTGGTCAGCGTGACTCAGTGGTTGAACGCTGACCTATGAACAAGGAGGTCATGGTTTAATTCCCAATCAAGGAATTATATGCCTGGTTTGCAAATTCAATCCCCAGGAGGGGCCATGCAGGAGACAGCTGATCAATGTTTTTCTTTCTTTTTTATTTTATTTTTTGCTATTAAAAAAATATATTTTATTGATTTTGTACAGAGAGGAAGGGAGAGGGATAGAGAGTTAGAAACGTCGGTGAGAGAGAAACATTGATCAGCCTCCCCCTGCACAGCTCCTACTGGGGATGTGCCTGCAACCAAGGTACATGCCCTTGACTGTAATGGAATCTGGGGCCTTTCAATCATAGACCGATGCTCCATCCACTGAGCCAAACAAGTTAGGGCCAATGTTTCTCTTCCATCATTGATGTTTCTATCTCTTCCTCCCTCTCTGAAACGAATAAAAATATTTATATTTTAAAAAATTAAAAATTAATAAAGGGACCTTGCTTTCTGGCCTGCTCCTGCTAGCCCTGCAGGTCACGCACTGGCTCTGCTGCTTCTCTCTGGAGTCAAGCCTGGGTTTCAATCAGTTGACAACATTGAGTGATTACCATGTGACAGGCACTGGTGTTGGGGACATGGCAGAAAACAAGACAGGTGTGATCTCTGCCCCCATGGAGTTTATGACCTGTTCGTGCCATCCTTCAAAAGAGCACTGCCCAATAGAACATTCTGTGATAATAGAAATGTCCAGAGCTGTCCTTGTGGCTATGGAGTAACTTGGGGGAAAAAATGATAGAGGATGGCCAGGGATGGTAAGAGTGGGGTTGAGGGAGTTGGGAGACCCACTCTCATAAGCCCAGGAAGCCTGATGGCTTACTGCCCTGGGGACAGGGCCCATCATCTCTTCAAGGACAGAGAATCAGCTGCCCTCCCAGCCCCTCAGGCAGGTTCCCAAGCCAGCCACTCCAGCCCAGGCAGCCAGCCAAGGTCTCACTCTTCACTCTATCCCACAGTCCCTGCCAGGCTGCCATGTTCTGGGTCCCCTCTGGCTGACCTGCCCAGACCCCACCCCATCCCACTTGAGCAACTGCAAGAAAACTCTCCCAGCTGCTTTGACTCAATGAGTCTCCACTTTTTTCTTTTAAATATGGGGAAAGAGCCCTAGCTGGCTTGGCTCAGCGGAAAGACCAGAGGCTTGGGGACTGATGGGACCCGGGTTTGATTTCGGTCAAAGGCATATGACTGGGTTGCAGGGTCGGTCCCCAGTGGGGAGTGTGTTCAGGAGGCAGCTGATCAATGATTCTCTCTCATCATTGACGTTTCTCTCTCTCTCTCCCTCTCCCTTCTCTGAAATCAATAAAAATAAATTTAAATATATATATGGAAAGAGGCTCAGAGAGGAACAGAAATTTACTCTAGGTCACACAGCAAAGCCAACACAGTGGTGGGTAAGATCCCAAGTCTCTGGCCTCTGTCCACACAGCAGCACTCCCCATGGGTCCCTCCTCAATAACTCCCAGAAGACCCAACCCCTGCCACTTCAGCCTGGGACATGTCCCCCACACAGCACTTTCCTTCCCAGGTTTGGAAGAAATGGTGAGGGGTTGCCGAAACCGGTTTGGCTCAGTGGATAGAGCGTCGGCTTGGGGACTGAAAGGTCCCGGGTTCGATTCCGGTCAAGGGCATGTACCTTGGTTGCGGGCACATCTCCAGTAGGGGGTGTGCAGGAGGCAGCTGATCGATGACTCTCTCTCATCGATGTTTCTAACTCTCTATCTCTCTCTCTCTTCCTCTCTGTATAAAATCAATAAAATATATTTAAAAAAAAAAAAAAAAGAAAGAAAGAAAGAAAAGAAATGGTGAGGGGCACAGAGCTCGCACAGTGAGGATTCTAAGGGCAGGGCTCTCTTTGCTCTCAGAATGGAGGTTCCAAGGGCAGGACCCTGCCTCCCCACCCAGCCTGCTCTGACGCTGTGCAAGTCATGTGGAGCCTCAGGGCCAAGCGGCAGGAGCTGCTGCAGGAAACGGGGATCCCGGTTGAAGAGATGAGCAGCCCAGGCACCCAGCTGGGAGAGGTGAGGGCTCCAGGTGGAGTTGAGGGAACAGGCGAAAGGAGTTGTGCAGAGCTGGGGAGGAGCGAGCACGTCGAGACCCTTGTGCACCTTGCTGCAGAGGGAGGCCACCCTGCCATGTGCTGTCAGGTGACCCTCCAGAAGTCAGAAGGAAGTCCAGATTCCGGACTGGGTGGGCTAGAAAGACTCTTACCCTAGACCAGAACTCAGCCTGAGAGCACTGGCCTCCAGGGAGCCAGGGTCCTGCCAGCTCTCTCTGCCTTCCCCCAGGGCTTGGGGCCAGGCTGGTGTCCCCCAACTGGCTGGGGGGTGGGATGGACGAGGGGTGGGGGGAAATGGAGGGCAGTCCAACGCCACTCAGCCTGTCTGAGGAGCTCTCATTTGGCTGATATAATTCTGCCTGTTGGGACCAAGATAGGAACATGGCCAAAAGCTGTTATTACTAGAAGGACTTAGAAGGAGAAGGGCTGCTGGAGGAGAGACAGATAGGTCTGCAATGAGGAAGTCCTCTGACCCCATGAGGAGAGGGTCTCCTAGGGATCTCAGGGCTTACATACGTCACTTAGGCTCTTGGGAATGAGAAGGACAGGCCTGATGGGGTGCATGAGGCCTAAAGCCCCCAATATAGCTTGTCGGAGGAGAGGCTATGGCAGGAAGGAGTAGGGGCCAGGAAGCCACCAGGCAGCTTGTCTCTCAGAACTGTGAGGGTCAGAGGCTCACAGAGAGGTCATGACTGGCAGCTGGGCCTGAGTTCCCTGGTCCCTTGGTGCTTGGGGAGGAAATAAGTTTGTGAGCTCCACTCACCACCCTAATCCCCCATGTCCATCCCCTTCTCTCCATCCCCAGACCATGACACCTTGCTCCTCAGACAAGAACCAGCCTCCTTACTCTTATGCTGCCAGACGCACTCCCTTCAATCTATTCACCACTGCCCAGGGTGATCTTTCTAAAATGATAATGGAACCAAATTAATCCCTTGCAAAAAAAAAAAATCCCGCATAATTCCATAATAATTTTATGGGTTTTTAAAAAAATATATTTTTTTTATTGATTTCAGAGAGGAAGGGAAAGGAAGAGAGAGAGAAACATCAATGATGAGAGAATCACTGATTGGCTGCTCTACTGGGAATCGAACCCACAACCAGGGCATGTGGCCTTGACCAAAATTGATCCTGGAGCCCTTCAGTCTGCAGGCCGGCACTCTATCCACTCAGCCAAAGAAGCTAGGGCTGGTTTTCATAGTTTTTGAAAAAGTAGGTTGATCTTTTATTCAAATGAACTCTTGGGGGAAACCCCAATATGTAAACAAGATATTACCATCTCATATTGGTATACATTTGTCGTACAAATTCAAATACGTTACTTGTACATAAAGTATTTATTATAACGTCAACCAATACATTATAATCACACAGTTGTCTGGGTGATGACAAATTTGAAACTGGGAGTTAAGATGCCAGTGCAGACTTAAGCTCCATCATCCAGTCAATTTGTTTCTGCATTGGCTGCTTTTTTGCAGTATTGAGAAAGCCCCAATTCACACCAATAAGTGGTTGCAAATGCCTTGTTTTGTTTTAAACTACAAGCCTCAAGAGACTCAGCAATAATTGTCGGCAATCTCAAGATACTCTTCTATTAAACAGATCTCAGGGAAAACTTTATTCTGCGGTTTGCTTTTTAAAAAAATCAATCCGCAGCATAAATTAATACGTTGGTCGTCTCCAAGGCGGGAAAACGTCCACAAAACACATTTGAGGGAGTTGACTTTTATTATACCTTTTTAACGGTTTAAAACATACTTGGAAGAAGAAGAAAAAATTCATTGGATTCACGGGGCTCATGGAACCTGGTTTTAAAACCCCTAACCTCACCCAACCGGCATGGCTCAGTGCTTGAGAGTCAACCTATGAACCAGGAGGTCATGGTTCAATTCCTGGTCAGGGCGTATGCCTGGTTGCAGGCTCGATCCCCAGTGTGGGGCATGCAGGAGGAAGCCAACCAATGATTCTCTCTCATCATTGACGTTTGATAGATCTCTCCCTCTTCCTTCCTCTCTGAAATCAATTTAAATTATATTAATTAATTAAACCCCTAACTTCACTGAATAAAGTCCCGGCTCCTTCACATGGTACTCAAGGCCCTCCATGGGCCTCTGGCATCCCTCCAACTCTTCTCCCGAAGATCCTGCCTTCTCCCACTCAGTTGCCATCTGCCTGCCTTTTGCCCATCCTGTTTCTCTCTCTGCGTGGCAAAACCACTTTAAGATGAGCGCAAAGGCCACTTCTGCAAAGCCTGCCTTAGTGGGCAGTCACTCCTCCCTGCACCCACTGCACTGGCAGGTCTTTCACCTGCGCACTCACCACCTGCAGGGTCCCTCCTCAGGGCGGTGAGGGCGCCTGAGGCAGGGTCAGCCTCCCTCACCTCTCAGCCGCCCTGTTGCTCAGGGGGCCTGGCCGGTGCTGCAGGAAGGACATGACTGTTGACAGGGGGGCCTCCTGGCCGAGGGTCTTTGGGAGGAAGTAGCGGGACACACTAAGGTGAGGCTGGAGCTCTGTTTTGGAGGATGCTCTGAGCCAGCCTCAGTGCTCAGTCCCCTCCGCAAGCACTGATGTCTGGAAAGCGGGAACTAGCCAGGCCCGGGGCCAACCAGGGCATCAGGACTTGTGGGACCGGAAGAGGACCTCTCCCCTCTACGTGCGTCCCGGAGGGCTGAGACCACCATGGGGGAGGTAGCAGGGGTGTGATGCCCACTGCGAAAGGAGCCTAGTGCAGAGCCCAGCGTCCATGCCCTGAACCAGGGGCGCAGAGGCCTGGGCGCACCCTCAGGACGCAGGGAGCACAGACCCTCAGCCTAGGGCGCATGGCCCTGAGCCAGACCCCAAAGTGCATAGGCTCGAGCCCAAAGCCCAGTACCCAGGTGGCAGGAATGGGAGCGCACAGCCGGGAGGAGGCGGGTTTCCAGATCTGGTTTCTGCGGTCGGTCCGGGTGGCTTCCGCGGGCTCCACCGACCGGCTTGGCCACTGGCGCTGCCCGTGCGCCCCGGTAGGGGCTGGCCCCGGGGCCGGAGCTGGGCCCCACGGGCTGCATGGGGGAGGGGGTCCTGGCGGGGAACCCGAGCCCGGGGGGAAAACACGGAGCAGAGCTCCCAAAATAAACCCGCGCCCGCGCCAGCTCCGGGCGCGCTCGGGGCTCGGGAGCCGCGCTCCCTCCCGGAGCTGCGCCACGGGTCCCGCTGCGGGCGGCCTCCGACCCCTCCCCGTGACCTTCCCCTCCCGCCCGCCCGGAGCGCCGGGCCCCGCGTTACCGATTTGGGCTTCTTCCTGGGCGTGAGGTTCCCGCAGAAAGTGTTGGCTTCCTCCCAGCGCGTGGCCGTGGCCGCGGCGCTCTCGGCCCCCAGCCCGGGCTCCCGGGGCTCCCGGGGCTCCCCGGCGTCCATCTCCGGGTCCGGGCGGGCGGCGGAGGCGCGGGGCTCGCGGGGCTGAGCGGCGGGCGCGGGGAGGCAGCGGGCGGCGGCGGGCGGGGAGGGCGCGCGAGCCGGCCGGAGGGCGGGGTGGGGGCGGGGGTGCCAGCCTCGCCCTCTCGGCGGCCCGCGCGTCCCCGCGGCCTGGGCGTGTGGATCCGAGGGCAGCTGGGCCGACCTCCCTCCCCGGCCGCCCCCCTCCCGAGGGGAATGGGGCGCGGGTGGGGGGCTGGCCTCCCCGGCTCTCAGGGGAAGGGGACCTGGAGCGGGGCTTGCGGATTGGGGATGAGGGAGCCAGGGGAGGCCTGACAACTTATTTCCCAGGATGATGGGTCCCAAAAGGAAAAAAAGAAAAGAAAAGCTAGCGGTCTCCCGCCCCCAAGCTAAGGATCCCGGGGCCCCCTGAGCGGCGCCCCCTTCCCTCGAACCCTAGTCCGTTCCGCGGGGAGCGGGGAGGCAGTGAGTGGGCGCACGGGGCAGACCCAGCCCGGCAGCTCTTGCCCATGGGGCAGAAGGGACCAGGCTCTCTGCCTGCGGGGACCCCAGATCTGAGACTCCCAGGGATTCTGTCTCAAGATCCGAGTTCTTGCTGGGCCCGCAATCACCAGCAGGGGGCGCGCACTCCCAGGCCCCACCTACCCAGCTTGGGTTGATTAGTGAAGGGCTAAGAAGTGGCTGGATGGAGGGTGGGTGGAAGACGTTGGAAGGTGTTGGAATCAAAGACTCCTGAATCACCATCCTGGAGTTTCTCGGCGAGCCTAGACGTGTGCACAGGTGGGTGGAAGCAGCAGGAAAAAATTCTGGCGTGGCCTGGAGGGCGTCTGCCTGGGACGGGGTACAGAATGGAAGGACCTGGACAGACTGCCATCCTGGGAGGAACTAACCATCTCTGTTGGCAGGAAAGGGGAAATGATAGCAACACAAAGTTTTAGGGTTAGGGAGGTATGTGTTCACTTGCCCTACTCAAGGCTTGGTAGATTGTTTCCAGGGATGAGGCCAAAGTCTCCCTTCCTGCCCACCCTTTGGCAATGTGACTTGGACATTTTTCCCATCCGGAGGGGGGGCTGAATCTGAGTTGACCCAGGGTCTTGCTCTGACTGATGCTGTAGACGTGATGTTGTACAGTTCCCAAGCTTAAGGCTTCAGAGGCCTTGCAGATTCCATGTTTGCCCTCTCAGGAGCCAGCTACTGGGTACAGAAGTCTGGACTGTCCTGCGGGAAAGTCCGCATGGCGAGGCAGGGTGGCCCTGGAGGAGAAGCAGCCAGGAGAACAGTAGTTTCCCCGAGACTGTCAGCATCAATTGCCAGACATATGAGTGGGCCATCTGGGCTGTTTCAGCTCCAGCTCAGCTCCAGTGGGATGCTGCTGGATGAGGGGCCCCAGCCATGAAGCAGGAAAACCTCCCAGTTGAGCCCACAGAGACATAAATTGTTGTTGTTTTAAGCACTAAGTTTTGGGGGGCTTGTTGCACAACAATAAATAATGAAACTCTAGGAAGGGGTCAATTCTCAGGTGCCTTGTGGAGGAGGAGGAGGAAGAGGAGGAGGAGAAGGAGGAAGAGGAAGAGGAAGAGGAGGAATAAATCACTTAGGAGATCATACAGGTGGTTACTTGGGTGGGAGTGAGCACCTGACCCAAAGGTGAGCCATCCCCATGCTGTCCAGTGAACTTTGACCTGTGTGGTCTGGGTTGAAAAATTGATCTGGGCCAGATTCCTCTTTTTCAAGAATTTGGAATTGGGAAACGGGCTGGAAAGTCAAGCATGGAAGCCGAGGATGCTGGGAAATGCAGTTAGCTTCCAAGAGACCTGCATGAGCCTTAGTGAGCCATGAGCAGTGTGAGCGGTCAGCAGATAAGATGGGAGAAGGTGTGCAGAAGGGAGGAGAGAGCCTACAAAGGAGGAGCCATGCTGCCCAAGAGGGAGCCACCTCGGTCCTGGCAGTTTCTCAAGTCCCAGATGAGGCTCTGGCTGAAGTGCCCATCTCTAAATGTCCATATTCTCCCCCTCACTTCAACAAATGCCTCCCTAAAAAGGTGGCTATTGATTTGTGGGGGTTTTTTTGTTTTGTTTTTTTGTTTGTTTGTTTGTTTTTTAATGTTTTTATTGATTTTTAGAGAGAGAGGAAGGGAGAAGGATGGAGAAAGAGAGACATTCTGCTGCCTCCTGCACATCCCCTACTGTGGATCAAGCCCACAACCCAGGCATGTGCTCTGATCAGGAATCGAACAGGTGACCTCTTGGTTCCTGGGTGGATGCTCAACTGCTGAGCCACACCAGAGGGAGGTTGATACTGAGGGCAGGGAGAGACTTCTGAGGAGCTGACACGATCAGATGTGTGGTTTCAGGAGATCACTCTGGTTTCTTTGGGGCAGGCAGATGGTGCGGAGAGCAAGCCTGAGAGCAGGAGGTGGACGCACCTGGGCTAGCGATGATGAGGGTTTAGGGAACGTTTTACGGAGACAGTAATCCAGGGCCTGTGCACTCCCAGACAGGAAGGAGGCAGGACTCCCCATCCCCCCGTGTGGCCTCAGCCAGGAACGGCGGCCCCAGCTCTCAGACTTCTGAGTCACCTCCTTAGGTTCACGGTTGCCCTGAGGCCAGGTCAGCTCCTTCCTCTGTCCTAATTGCTTCCTGCCAAGGCAGCTGGCCCCCTGCGAGCGTCCTTGAGAAAGCCCTTGTGAAAGCAATTGAGCATTTCAGAAGGAAGCAGGCACCCGCGGCTGCCACTGCCCCCAACCCCAGGCAGGGAACAGCGCTCCCTGACTATTGAGGGGTCTTCTGAGAGGAACCCTTCACCACCAACTCCCATCCCCAATCCTTACCACATCCGGGCCAGCATAGGGGGTCTCAGGGCTTTGGGCGGGGCTCCTGTGGATGCTATAACAAACAAGTTATGCCGAAACCGGTTTGGCTCAGTGGATAGAGCCTCGGTCTGCGGACTGAAAGGTCCCAGGTTCAATTCCGGTCAAGAGCATGTACATTGGTTGCGGGCACATCCCCAGTAGGGGGTGTGCAAGAGGCGGCTGGTCTATGTTTCTCTCTCATCAACGTTTCTAGCTCTCTATCTCTCTCCCTTCCTCTCTGTAAAAAAATCAATAAAATATATTTTTTTTAAAAAGTTATGCTCTACTCAATGCTCTGACCACACTCCATGTGTCAACTGCATATGGCAGGACAAGGCTGTGTCTGTTCAGAAGAAGGGGTGTATTTTCCCAATTAGCCAGAAGATGCCACCATGGTCTGGCTGCATCCTCATAGGGATGCTTCCACTCAGAGGGGATCCCTCCTCCTAATGAGTACACAGTGCACCACATGGACCATTGTGATCCTGGCTCATAGGCTCTCTCCCCACTGCCCACTCTCTGCTCACTCGGGCTTTAATGATGCCTTCCACTGGGCAGAGGGAGAAGCTAAGCCCCACTACCTGTTGCCACTAGCTTCCTTCTGGGGGGGGAACTGCTCTGCCTGAAGACCCCACATATCAGCACCTGGTCTGGCCATAGGTGATTGGACCAAGGGGTCCCACCAAAAGCTAAGCTGAACCGATCAGATTCTTTTGCTTGAGACACAGAGGGGCATTGTCATCGCTGGTGAGTGTTGATAGAGAGATGCAGCCACCTTGTGTAGGGAAACCCAGGAAGTCTGGAGAGAAACCAAGAAAAAGATGCAGCCTTAACTGATTTGGCTCAGTGGATAGAGCGTTGGCCTTCAGACACAAGGGTCCCAGGTTCGATTCCGGTCAAGGGCATGTACCTTGGTTACGGGCATATCCCCAGTGGGGGGTATGCAGGAGGCAGCTGGTTGATGGTTCTCTCTCATAGTTGTTTCTAACCCTCTATCCCTCTCCCTTCCTCTCTGTAAAAAATCAATAAAATATATTTTTTTAAAAGAAAAGAAAAAGATGCAAATATTGCCAAGGGGATAAGAACCTGTGAGGCCACTCTGGGGAGGGAGGGTATGTATGGGAGGGAAGGCAATGTTAAAATATGTACACAGATAATAATTTAATAAAAAATTAAATTAAATTAAATTAAATTAAAAAAAAAAAAAGGAAGAACCTGTGAGGCCCAGAGAAAAGAGAGAGGCCCATTCTTAGTTCTAGTTCACGAAGTCCCGGTCATTCTTTTTTTTTTTTTTTTTTTTAATATATTTTATTGATTTTGTACAGAGAGGAAGGGAGAGAGATAGAGAGTTAGAAACATCGATGAGAGAGAGTCATCGATCAGCTGCCTCTTGCACACTCCCTATTGGGGATGTGCCCACAACCAAGGTACATGCCCTTGACTGGAATTGAACCCGGGTCCCTTTAGTCCCCAAGCCAACGCTCTATCCATTGAGCCAAACCGGTTTTGGCCCAGTCATTCTTGATTTTCCATCTTTAGGGTCCCTTGTAACCTGCTCACTCCTTTCTTTGAACCATGAAGTGGGTTTCTGTTTCATGTTACCAGCACCCTCGCTGGAATAGGGACTCAGCCTAAGGAGTTGCTGAGGTCCTCTCACAGGGTGAGCTCCCCCTTCCCCCACCCCAGCGCTATCCTGGCTTAGAGAAGAGCAGGAAGGAGCCCTGGGCACAGTCACACCTTTTATTCACGGTCAGTGAAAATACACACGCACCACAGCACAGGGTTTGAACAGAGAGGACAGTCACTGTGGGCACAGCCAGGAGCAGCACATCCATAGGGAGCCGGGCCAGAGCGGTGAAGGAGTTGGGAGCACCCCTGTGCCACCCCCCCTCCTGCCCCAGGTCTCCACACTCCCAGAGCCTCCACCAACAGGAAGGGCCAGACACCCTGGGAGGCCCGGTCCTGCCCCCACACTCTGGCACAGGGACAAGAAAACCCTGAAAATCTCGAGAGAAAAAGCCCATATTTTTCTGAGACTTCTCAATTGCAGGATTTGAATTTTTTTCAACACTGATGAATAAAATATGTAGAAAATAAATTCTTGCCCCTACAGTGATCTCTAAAGTCAGCA